TTTTTTCGGGGGGGGGGAGGGGGGGGAGAAAGAGGGCATGCAGAACAGATGTCTCAGTTTCACACATTTCAATAAAAACCATAGAATATAGCTTTTATAGAATAGAAAAAGCTATAGAAATAATGCCAACCAGAAGGATGCACACCCCAAGGTAATGGGTCAGCAGTTCCTTGAGACAAGATCAAATCCCTCTTCTACCAGAGGCCTTCTATTTATTCAGAACCCAAAACAAAATTGAAAACAAGGCTAGAAATTTAAACTAAAAAAAAAAAAATACTGAAGGTTATCTTTTTACCAGGTGTACATCAAAATGAAAGTATTTTTCCTCATCTGTGGTGTCCTAACAAGGTCAAAGAGGGAAGGGGTCTGTTTTCCACCATCTTCCTCTTCAAATTTAATATCCTGCAGAAAAGCCAGAACAACATTCATTGGGGTGTAAGACTTGTACTGCTCCATATTTAAAAAAAAAAAAAAAAAAGGATTTCCTAACTTATGTAGGGGAATTTTTTAATTATTTTTATTTATTTATTTTTGCTTAGCCAGTTTTAACACAATTGTTCTTTCTTAACATCCTTGTCACTATGACAGGGATTACTACCTTGCTGACTAAAGGGAAGAAACAGTAAGTTTCTGTTGGAGCAAATTGAAAGGAGGAGTAACTCTGAGGCTTGCTTTCATCTATAAGCAAATTCCAAGCTCACCTCAAGATGGGAAGGCATCTTCTTCCGATTTTTTTTGGCCATGTCACTAATAATTTTCATAGCTTTGTCATTTTTCCCTTGAGATATCAGCCACCTGGGAGACTCCGGGAGGCACCTACAATGCAAACAGGGGGATGCTGTTATACCAAAAGTTAATGCTCATGGAGTATTCCTATGTGTGGAAGCTCTAAGGACAGCATAGACAGTTTTGAGCTCATGAGAAGATGAGCTCATTAAAGATATATCTGAAAGGTCTTTGAGTGACAACAATGTCATAATTTGTTCAGACAGCTCATCAGAAAAACTGACTCCTCTTAGGGAACCATTTTTAGATACAATATCACAGACCAAGAAAAACTATTCACAGAAACTGATTTCAGTTATTTCTATCCTCTTGATCCAGCTAAAAAATCTTGTATCCAAAGCATTCAAAAGCTGAAAAATATTGATGATAAAGATAAGCAAGAACCTAAAATAAAGGTAAATTCATGCACCTCCTTTTTGTTGGATCAGAGACCTGAAGGCTTTTCTTGAAAGAATGTGTAAATAACTCACAGCTATGTCACTTTTCAACAGTGTTTCAGTAGCCGTCTTTTCCACATAGACACCACTCAAGCATTACTCTTTGCATTAACTGGCATAAGCATCTAAAAGGTAGTGCAAAATTTCTCAAACTCCAGGGACCAAAAAGGTTTTTTTTGGTCTTGCATGAAGACACAATGAAAACATGTTTACCAGTAGTAGAGCAGGAAGAAGAAACATGGCAGAGTAACCGTGAGCTGCAGCCATCTCCAGTGAGGAATTGCATAAGCAACAACATCAAACACAAGGAGACCAACCGAGAAGGCCGCCTGATAGAGAATCCCCACTGTTCTCCTGTATCTCGGCCCAACAACTTCTGTGACTAAAAATGCATAGAAACAGATACTTCAGTGATGACAGCTCTGTGCAGGAGTTTCTCTGCAGGGCCTATGGAAAATGAATGTTACATTAATGCCTTGAAAAAAAGCTTCTTATAAATTCTGGACTTGGCATAAAATCTCAGAAGAGAAGGAAGCAAAAAGAGCATTTTGGTTGTAGGTAGATCTAAGGAATTAAATTCATCTGCCATTGAATAAGTTAAATACTCCCTCAAGACACAGATCTAACGTGCTACCGTACATAACACATCCAACCTGAAAACAAAGCAGATTTTTAGGTGCGCCCTTTCATCCTTCATCTCACTCCCAGTATACAGAAAATATTTGTATTGAGAAATGGGACTTAGAGCTTCCCAAGCAGGATGATTTCATGACAAACTGGCTGTTTGCAAACATCACATCATAGGCTAGGCCTTGAAGATTAAGTGTTATTGATGCAGAACTAAGAAATAGTAATTATTCTGTCACGTAAGCATAGCCACATGTGAAATTCTGTATTTGGCTGTGTCTCATTTCAAGAAGGGCAACAGTAGAAAAGAACAAAATGCAATTATTTAGCAATTCAGGGAGCTGCTTTGTTTTAGAATCACAGATTAGTTCATGTTGTTTGGGTAAATATTGAGTAGAAACAATTGACATCTTTGGCTCAGAAAGATTCTGAGCTAAAAACAGCTGAGAGACAGGTAAGTGTCTAAGAGAACATGGTTAGAGTTGGCTCAGTCCTTATATCCTTTCCCAGGCATTTAGTATTGACTAGCTGGAAGATCCAGCTACAATTGGATACAATTTTAAATTGGCTTTGGGTCCAATTCAATGTGACCTCTCATGAGCTGATTTCAAGGAGAATCCCGAAGTAACAAAGTGCATTTGAAGAAGAAATGGTAGGACAAGTCATTATCCTGAAATGAGTTTTATGCTATAAAAATGGCGTGAAGTTCTCCAGAAGTGGTGATGAAAGTTTCATCAGTGCCAGAAAGAGATTTAAGAAGCTAAATAAGTACCTGGAGCAGTCACAGGAAGGAACCACCCCATCTTAGCAGAAAATGGCCTAGTTGTGGGCTTGATGTTTTTACTAGGTTTTATCACAAACATCTGGATCATTGCATTAGCAAGATGTTGGTGCTAATGGAATTAACAATAGTTTAAAGTGCTCCTATTCAGGTTTCTACCACTACCACAATTAACTGAATGGGATGTTGTAGGCCACTTGCTCAGTGCTATTTGGTAGGGCCACCTACCCTTTAACCCAGCTAACCCTGAATTTGAAATGCATTATTTGAAATTCTTTATTTGCTGCTCTGTTGATGACTTGTTCATTTATTGCTAAAAGCTTGAGTTTTGCAAGACAGAAGTCCCTGGTGGCTCTGCCAAACCCCGGAAGTTGGGAACAAGCACTAAGCTGGCCCCCAACTCTGCCCTGGCACAGCAGAGCACTGCTCATCAGCTACAAAACAAATCCTAGCATGCGGCTGAACTGGTGCGATGGTCCCTTGGGACGGGTGCATGGCAGTGGCAGGACAGCTCAGCTGGCAGTGGTGGTGACCAGCGTGGGCATTTCTGCCTGTGCCTGGCTCGTAGCTGAGCTCTGAGGCCAGCTGTGAGCAGCACAGTGCAGGGAGAAGCACCGTGACAGCCAGGCTCTACCCGCTGCTTTGAAAGCCCCGGTTTGGCCTTCACTCAATGGAGTGCACAACACCAGTATGCTCAAACAGTTCGTCTTTGCCTCAACAAGAACATACTATTCTGCAGTTATTTTTAGCCTGTAAAGCCTCGGTTTGCTTTTTATTGCTCTTTAAAGCACCAAAATGCCTTCGTTTTCCCCCATTCTCCACCTGTTTCTCTAAGGGCCTCCTTTGCCATCTTCTCAGCTGTGACTCGTTTGGCAAGTCAGCACTGGGCAGCTGCAGGCTTCACCAGGGGCTGCCTCCTTCCCAGCTCTCACCCCAACAGCTGGGAGAGGGGCTCAGCTCTGGCAAGGGCAGAGCATGGGGAACAGCCAGCCCTCAGGCAGCAGCCTCAATTTCCCATCGCTTGTCTCAACTTTGAAGGCCACTGTACTTTGGGAAAAACAAGTGTTTAAAAAAAAAAGTGAGTCAAAGAAAACTATTCCTCAAGATCAGCTTGTCTATATGATTTTAAAAAACTGTAAGGGTTATTCATTTCGCTGTTTTTATTCAGTTTTTTGTTCCTTGTCTTCTCCAGGCAATACAGGGAAAAGGCCTGAACTCACCCACGATGTAGCCCGCAGTCCAGCAGCCCTTGCTGACCAGTCCTTGCAGGAAACGGAAGATCAATATCCACAGGTAGGTGGGCACAAAGACCAGGAGAAGGCCACAAATAGTATTTGCGAATACGGTAGTTAAGATGCAAAATTTACGGCCAAACCTGGATCCAGAGATAACACACAGAAGCCAAAGTGCCAATAAGGAAGATACAGATGTGTTAAGTGATCAAGACAGCTGTGCTCTCTTGTGGGGGTGGGGGAAACAACCCACTTTGCAATGCAAGGCATAGACATATGCCAACTCTTATTGCTAGCCCATTTCACACTCACTTGAGATCCTTGAAAAATTACTATGGCAACAGCCTGCAGTTCCAGAAGGGCTTTCAAGGTTGTTTGAAGGAAGCAAAAATTTCCTTGGCAATTGAATAGGCCAATATTTACACATATTTGTAGCTTTATCTCCAAATGCCAGAGTAGGCATGTTATTCTTTTGTTATTTAGTACACGGCAGCAAAAAAAAAAAAAAAAAAAAAAAAAAAAAAAGAGTAGAGATTAATATTATGGTGCTGATATACCTGTGTGGACCAGGGATGACAGATTTATATACAAGAAACTTGATCCTGAAAAATATTTTATGCATGGATCCAGCCTTGAGTGGGCTGGACTTCACAACTAAAGAACGGGACCTATAATACTAACAGTCTTTAGATAGGAGAGAAACAAGAGAAAAAAAGGGGTCTTCTAATATTAGCATTTATTTATTTTTGAGATAAACTGCCTGGCCAAGTTTGAGTGTTTTCTCACAGACCACGTGCTTGCTGTGTGGCAAGCCAGCAGAATAGCTCGCGGATCCTCCAAGGGAAGACTTTATCTGCTGCACATACAGTCCTAACACACCTTGCAGAAAATGCGACTTGCAGAGCAGGAAAGATTGGCAGTTTACATAAACTATCGGGTATGACTTGTTCACTCAAGAACGAGAGGTAGAGCAGTCATTTCTAATACCATGAGTTAATACCTAGGTGATTTTCCTTATTTTGCAGAGAGCAGAGATAGCAGTTGCACAACTTTTCTCTGCCTTTAGTGAAGCTTTAGCTGCTGAACACTGATAAAGGAGGTCAGGTGGTTTTACCATCATGCTACACGTACCTGTCTGCTATGTAGCCAATGTTTACAGAGCCGATAAAAAACCCAGCATTCACACACGACTGAAAGATATCCAACTTCCAGGAATCCTCACACACCAGGTTAAACTGAAGGAGCAACCACAGATAAAAGCAAAACAGTGAAATTGGGAACTAGTTCACACTTGCAAAGTCTCCCTAGCTTCAGTTTAAACCTGTTCCTGCGTTGACACCCATTTTATTAATATCTAGGAATGCCATTGATAGAATTGTCCAACATTAAAAATAAGATCAAGCCTTTGAGCAGTTCTCTCATATCCCATCTTTACTACTGGAAACAACATAACAAAGTCAGCGCTTGCCAAGATTTGCACTGCACTTTATTCGTTGTTCAATTTCTGTTGATTTCTGTCTAAATCAGATTGGGCTTTCTAAACTTTCCTCTTTTTGTGTGTGTGCTTTTACTGGTAGTTAATGTTTGTAAATAGTTCTAGCTGCCCCGTCTCCTCGTATGCCATGGCAGCACCTGAAGAGTGCTCTGGATTGAGTGTGCCGTATTCCTGGAGGTGTTCCAGCTATGCCCCATTTGCCGTGCTCTCCGTGAAGCACCAGTAGTGCCTCACTGAGGGAGTAGAGAATGAGTCACGGAGAGGGTTTTGGAAGCAGGGAAAAGTATCCTATAGTCTGACTTGTCCAGAGATGAGGCATCTCGCAGCCGTGGCCAAACTTTACCAAAGATATTTGCCATCTGCCCTTAGTCCTCATGTCTTGCTTGAGAAAATAAGTGAAAGTTTGAAAAAACATCCTCAAGGGGGCAAGAATCCCTTTCTGTCCCACTGGTAAGCTGGGTTTATTCAAAACTATGCATCTTTGATCCATGTAAAAACAACATCCATCCTGTGAGGATACTATTTCATGTGTAAATTTTTCCTTTGAGCAAAGTTTGCTCTGTGCTCTCCTTTGCCCTGCTCCCTTGTCAGAGCAAGGGACAACACACAGGAGCGTGACGGCCCCTGCAAAACAGCCACAGCCCTTCACAAGACCCTGGGAAAAGCTTGTGTGCACAGTTGTGGCTATTGCAGACACCTCAAGAGAGCCCCAGTCAAGCCTCCTGGACCACGGCATTTGCTCAAGTTTGTGCAGGGAAAGGTGGCCAGTACAGGGAAGGCATTCATTAAAGATTGCCTGAAAACTGGGTTGTTTATTTCTTCACCTCAATGTCACATAGTCCATATTTTATGGGAAGAAATGCACATACAGTACCCACCTGCTTCCATTGACTTTTTTTCCTCATGTCCTTTTATAACCTTTTATTAAGTCTCAAACTTAAAAAATGAGGTCCTGCAATCACCAGACTCTTGAATTCAACAGCTCTTACATTTGTTTTATCAAGTTCTATTAAATTTCCAGAGGTGCCAGAAATCAGTTTTTCTTCTCACTAAGTTCATGATGAAATCATTCATAATCTAAAAGTACTTAAAATCCTGAGACATTTCAAATTATGAACTATTTTAGTTACTCTAAAAACACATCCAAATAAAGAAAAAAAAGTAAAACAAACAAACAACAGTCCTTGGCTTTTCTGCAATTTATTCCCAGTACAAGCTGCTTAACTGCAGGAAGGTTATCTTTAGGAGCCAGCCTGCCCCCAAGTTGGCCGGGTTTGTTTGGTGAGTTGATGTCTAGCACGGGGGGAATGTTTACACACCTCCACCAATAGGGACTAGAGCTTTATTCAGACCTGGGCTTTATCTACGTAGCAATTTATTTGCTGAAATGCTTTTGGCTCCATAGCTGAAGGTGGGAGCTGCGTGCGTGCTGAACAAGGCAGGACGCCAGTGGAGATGTTTTAGGTGGATGTGGCAGCAAGAGGCGATCCCCCACCTCCAGGTGAGCATGCAGGTGTCTATTGTATATTTTGGATACATATAGCAGTAATATATCTTTATGTATTGCATGTAAGAGTACCCG